GGAATGCTAACTTTTTGAAAAATGCTAATGCCCCATTTAGCATTTTACTTTGGACTAGAGCAGAGAAAATGGTCCGAACCAAGCGGCTACTCCACCTTGTGACTAGTCCTGCTCCACCCAGAGGCTACACCACCTCTGCTGCTGTGACCCGTCCTGCTCCACCCAGAGGTTACTCCACCTCTGCTGCTGTGACCCGTCCTGCTCCACCCAGAGGCTACACCACCTCTGCTGCTGTGACCCGTTCTGCTCCACCCAGAGGTTACTCCACCTCTGCTGCTGTGACCCGTCCTGCTCCATCCAGAGGCTACACCACCTCTGCTGCTGTGACCCGTCCTGCTCCACCCAGAGGCTACTCCACCTCTGCTGCTGTGACCCGTTTCACTCCACCCAGAGGCTACTCCACCTCTGCTGCTGTGACCCGTCCTGCTCCACCCAGAGGCTACACCACCTCTGCTGCTGTGACCCGTCCTGCTCCATCCAGAGGCTACTCCATCTCTGCTGCTGTGACCTGAAGGGCTGTTGCTGATTATTACTATTGTTAGCTTTTTAGAATTATCAATTTTATTTTTATTTTTGCTGCTACTGGACACCTGAATTACTTTGACGGGGATCAATAAAGTATCTATTTATCTATTGAGTCTGGTTTTGTAGTGCAGTCCGTGTCAATATCTTTTAAAAAGCAGATTTGTGAGGTGTATATATAGTCAATAACAACTAAGAGCACTAACACGCACTCAAAGTTCAAAATTCCGCACATGGAAGTAGTTTATTGCAGCACAATTATATTCCTATGATGCTTGCAGTCGACGCTCTCCCCATGTGTTCTTGTTCCTTGTCTCTGCATCTTGACACAGTGCAGTGAGCCTAATCGTGGATAATTGGGTGGGAGGGGCAGTGGGCCGGCCCTGCTTTTGTGTGCAAAGGGCAAGTGGTCAAGTTAATGGGGCCCTTGTGTGGAGCTGGGAGCACTCTGTCTCCTTCTTCGATCACTCACTCAGGCCAGTCAATCTCTCGACCCTCTTGGCCACCGCTATGTCTTTCTTCACACGGCTGCGGTTTCTTTGTCCGTCAAAGTTCACCCAGAATACTGCAGTCTCACTTTGTCCTATTGATTGGTAATACGTGTTTGTGTTGATCAGTCCTTTTAAACACACTTTTTTTGCAGTGGCTGACAAAATGATTCGTTATTTGTGATTTTGTTTTGTATTATGTATTGCTATTTTTTGAGGGATGTCAAGGCTGTTGCAGTTTGAATAAGGATAGTGGCTTGCAAACAAACTAGACAATATTGAGATGTATGGGAAGTATGGATGACTCATGGTTACAGCATTAAATTAATTCCTATGAAGTAAACATAATGGAGAAAATATATACAGTATAACAACATATTTGAAATAACTTCATATTTTCTAAAGGATGACGCTTATGTTGTTGCACAGATGGGTGGGAAGGATGTGTACTTATTGAATTACAATGGGTGGCAGTGGTTGGCACTTTTAGGTTTCCTCCAGGTGCTCCGGTTTCCCCATACCACTAAAAACATGTGTAATAGGCATGAGTGTAATCAGTGAGTGAATGGATAGTGACGTCGGAGGCTTCGATGGGTCGGTTTTTGGCTTTTAAAACATTTTAATACGCTTTGTATGACCGCCGCTGAATTGAATTTGAATTGCGCTATACAAATACGCAGGAGGGTTTGGATTCTTGGTCTAACTAAAAGGTCAGAGGTGTTGATCCAGGCAACTCAACAACATTTATGGACATTTATCAACACTTATGGACCAATACCAATGTGTTTTATTCTTCATGTTTGAACTGTTTGATTCCTTCTTCTGTGTTGGCAAATTCAAAGGTTGTGTAAAGTTCTCAGAGACAACTGAGATTTAGGGCTATACAAGACTGTTTTACGTATGCATTTTTCATTTGCAAAAAAAAAAAAAAAATTTACATTCAAATGGCTGAACAATCTTACCGCTTCAGTTTATTGTCAATGCTTTTCCAGTAAGTAATTTAACCTTTAACCATTTATTGCAATGCATCTGTCAGATAGAAACGTGGCTTTTGATTCATGATTCATGTAAATGCCTTGATTGCAAATGAAGATAAGTGCTCAGAAATATTCATGGTGTCAGCGATGAAAGGAAAGAGCTCTTTGTGAAATGAAGCAGTGGATCAGGAGGCCACACTGCTCTCTGGGACTGAAGACCGGGCTGCTGCAGGGGCTCCTTCCTCTGTGTGTGCTGCCACTTTGGCCTTGATATGGAGTGTGTGTGTGTGTGTTTGTGTGTGTGTTACCTCGTCTGGCACCAGCTTAAGTCTGCACAAGGCCATTGTGTTTGCATTTCTAGTCCCGAAGGAAACTTTATTATATTTCTTAAATTTAACAAAGGATTTTTAATAATTGCACTCACAATTTTTGACCTGCCGCTTTGTTAACAGGATTCTGCCTCATAATTGGGAGAAATGCAATTGAAATGCAAGGGCACTAAGCCTTGGACTGTAATTGTGAAATGACAAATAATGTTTAATCATTTAGGAAGAAGATAAAACTCAATATTTATTCCATTTCCAAGAAAAAGGCGTTTATTCTGAGCATTCGCAAAACCACATATAAATGTAATAATGATTAAACACAGTGAACACATTTGGCCACGTATGTCATTGTTTTGGCAGAATTTTGAAGATTACGAATGATAATTAAAAAAATTTTCCACCCATCGTTAGTGGTTGTGTGAAGGCATTTATCGTCGAATGTGTTTTCTATCTCAAATGTACAATTCATGCAAGGCAGCCCAGGAATTTACTGGAAGATTTTTGTCAAGAAGAATGGGCAGCTTTACCATCAGAGAGGAGGAAGAACTACAAAGTATGCAAGCTGTCATAGTGTCATATGGTTTCAAATGAAAGAAGGAATGCAAATAATATGTGATTTAATAAAATAAAACCAAATCCAGGGTAACAATCCAACACAAAATCCAAACTAAAAACAGCAACAAGACGAAAGGAAAGACAATGGACTGACAACACGAGGAGACACAGGTAAAATACATGAGGCTGGGGCAGGTTACCAACACACGAACCGGAAATAAAACACAGGCATGTATTTAGAACTGGGGGCTGGAGACATTTGAGTATTAGAGCCACTTTTATTGTCATTTGAAAATAGAAAACTTGCTATTTGAAAATAAATGGCTTCACACAACCACCCATATTAAATGAAAAAAGTGTTATTCATAATCTCCAAAAAGACGGCCAAAAGAACTTCAACATTTCTGCCTCTGGGTGTGTAAACGTTCAAGCACAGGTGTATGTCAGGAAGCCTCATAGACATTGGGCTGTAGTGCTACAGAGGAATCAATGAAAACTCGTCATATAAACTCTGAAAGTTTCATCTTTAACTTTGAAATACATGAATCGGTGAAATTGCATTTGCGTGACGAACTGGAGATATTCCAGATAAATGTTCTGTCATCGCTGGCTCAATACTTTTCAATGTGTAACAGCCTTGTGTTAACATGAATACTTCTACTACAACCAGCTCTGTGCATGAGTGGAATATCCCAAAAATCTGTTAGAAAATTCAATACTTCATAAATTCGCCTTCATAATTTCAAGATAAAGATTCTTTCCATTGACAGTTTGTTGTATAAAGGCTGACCAATGTTCCATGTCGTCCGAAAACTAATCAGAGGTGGACAACAGCCAGATTATCTATCTTACAATGTCAGCTTATTAGATACACAAATGTAATTGGTTCGACTAGAGTTAGGGTTATATGGACAGTGTTTGATACAAAAATATCAACATCTGATTTTAGAATAAGATTTGACATTTTTTCAAAGGTTTAAAGAGGAGACTGAACAGTTAAAATAATAAAAACATCTGTACCTTTGTTTTGAATAATACCTGTACGACTGAGAGCTTACACAAAGTTAACACAACATCCGAAAAAGAACAAGATTTGTATTTATTTTATCTCTGCAATATAATAAATGCATATTGCCATTTTCTTCAATCATAATTGTGATTCTGCTCTGAAACCTGGCTGTGCCCACCTCTGATCGCAACAGCACAATGACGTCACAGTGAAAAACACGCAGCTCCCGTTGTGTGAGAACAGAAACACATCTTGTACACAGCACAGTCAGATCTGCATCAATAACGCATTTTAAAACATAGCCCAACATTTCAATAACTTCACCTCAATCCAAGCAACAACTCGACAAACTCGCACACAGCAACATCAGTCTTCATGTGTGTATAATGTCAGCGGCCGCAACAGGCTGCATAGCACTTTGGCTGAAAAACAGTAAAGGATCACAGTGAAAAATGAAGTCACCTCTGTGTGATTTTGCATCACTAAAGGCCTGAAAGAGCCGTCTCCATGATGCACCTGAGTTCATAGGAAACTGATTGTAGAAGTGGTGCGTAATAGAGAAAAGGCCAAAAACAACGTAGGTAGTGTGACATCTGTAACACACACTTTAACACAGTACACAGGGATCCACACAGCACACAGGATCAGTCGTTACAGACCTGCATATGGCACATCCAGTCCAATAATGATACAGATTGGACTTTCGAAATGCAGCCATAACGGCCATAGTCTGATGTCGTTCATAAAGGTCTATAGACAGCAGCCTTCAGAACACTTTAGGCATTTAAGCTGCTTTGAGGGTGTGTTTATGATTCCCTCCAGCCTATAATTTCACTAATATTTTTCTGGTAATTGGTATGATTTTTTATTCTTCAAATTGATCATTTAAAAAAAAAAAACATACTAGCATCGGGGAAAACGTGATCAAACGGAGTCATTTCTTGACAATGCCTTTGTTTTCCAAAATGTGGTTTAAGAATATTTTATCAATACTTTTAATTCAGTAATCATAATACTGTTTATTCTTCTTCAGTCTCATTGGATAATTTTTTTTAGACCAATGAGTCGTGTTTACTAAGGTCAGTCTTTGAAATGTCTCGAAGGCATTGGGTGACATAAGCAGTCACTTGAAGGAGCTGACAGTTTGAGGTCCTTTGGTCAAGGTGAGGAGCAGGGGATAGTGGATGTTCTCATCGTAGGCTTCTTTTCCTTCTTTCATCATCTAAAACCAGACAGAAAAAAGACGAGAATAAATGTTTGTAAAGGTTATAAACTACACATAAGGCAGAATGCTATCAGAGTATCCTGAATTGCAAACATTCAGTGGTGACAGGTGTCCGTGTGAGCGCTCTTGGCAGTTTGGGCAGAGTGTAATCATCTCATGAGACGTCAGTCCAAACGATGAGAGAAAATGCGAGTGAATGTATGTGATGAGAATGTGACGGGAGGGAGAGCAGTGTTTCTGCATAACAAGCACAAACTCAGACTGACCCCAGACTCCACCCCGGAGGTTCACTGAGCAGCGTCGGTCAGAAACAAGAGCACATTTACTTACACCTCAGCTGATACGTCTGCACCGGTCGCATGTCATGGGAATACAGTTCATATCGTAAGAGCTCAAAGCATGGATCTATAATGATAACTGGATAGGGTATTACTAACTTATAGCTGTCCCACCTAAGGGCACAGGGGGCGCCCATGGTACTGCAGACTAAATTCACAGGGGCTACCCAGAAAAAAGTTCTATAGAACTCAATGTAAACTAAAACAGCTCGACCTCAGCTGACAGAGAACCTACAGCTTTCATAAAGGTCGGATTTTATGGGGATTTTAGTGTCCCTTGTCATCCTGAACTCTTTTTCTTGTTAAATCCTTCGGTTTCCATAAATCTACACTTTAATGCAACAAACTCTGCTCGTTTGGCTCCCGCTCTAACTCCGCTCTGATCGGTCAGAGCACGGCCGAGCCCCTCTGTGCACGTGCATGAGAGTCAAACGCGTTTTTGGTACAACGCATCATGGGAGCTCGTCCACTGCGCAGAACTGAGTGGACCAGACGATGCCCAAATATGGGCGAGTTCTGCGAATCTTTGGGTCCCCAAGTATGTCCCATGCACTATTGAGCACAAGCCATTAATTTGAATAGGGCGCCATCTTGGCTCACTGGGGCTTGTCTCAAAGGCAAACATAAAAATCAAACATTTTAAATAATAATCTATATACATTATTATTGCTCTTCTTACTTTACTAATACTGAGCTAATAGCCAGAAAGCAAATATAAAAATGTACAAAAATAAATTAAATAAAAAAAATTGTATGTCCCATATTGTAAAAGGTTATCATAAAAAATACTGCTGCCGATGCTAAAGATCAGCTAACAGTTTGCACAAAGATATCTTCAGGTTTCCCTCTCCTTCTATTCTGAAAATACTTTTGTTTATCAAATACACACATTTTAAAGAAGTAGCTTACACTCAAATACGTAAATATATTGCTCAAAATTAAATGAAATGGCAACCACATGAAAATGAGTCTGGCCCTCCTCAATATACCGATATTCCAATGGGCCCACCAGAGAAAATAATTGTGCACTCCTGGGTTAGATGCAAATGATTCTCCAGCGTTCAAAAATCGGTCCTTTCGTTCATTTTTTTCATGGATAATACACTGTGTTTATTGCAACAGAAAGAGTCTTTTCAGAGTTAAAGAGTGAGCCTTAAAAGAGTATATCTTGTAAGTATTTTTTGATGCTTTGGTCTGAGAGCTGATTTGTTGAGCAAGAAAAAAACTGAAGAGGTCACAAGATAATAGTGCATGTAAAAAAGAGTAATAAGTAATGGAGCTAGTTAGATGGGCTTTACTACATCGTTAAATGTTTGTGATTTGAAAGTTAGGTAGGCTGACCTACCTAACATATAGTTGGAGTTATTCACTATAAATGAGAGCAATATTAAATAACTGCTTCTCTGTCACAATAAACAGAAAATGTCATCATTCAGATCTAAAATATTAGCTATCACAAACCTTACAACAATAATGGCTTTTATTTTCAATTTTCTTTGTAAATTTTCTTTTCTTTGTAAATAAACAGTTACCAAATATCTATTTCACATGATGAGATTCGTCCTGACTATTTAAAGTCTCTGGATGTTGTTGGACTGTCTTGGCTGACACGTCTCTGCAACATCGCGTGGCGATCGGGGGCGGTGCCAATGGAGTGGCAGACCGGGGTGGTGGTCCCTCTCTACAAGAAGGGGGACCGGAGGGTGTGTTCCAATTATCGTGGGATCACACTCCTCAGCCTCCCCGGTAAGGTCTATACTCCAAGGTACTGGAGAGGAGGCTACGGCCGTTGGTCGAATCTCGGATTCAGGAGGAGCAGTGTGGTTTTCGTCCCGGCCGCGGAACACTGGACCAGTGCAGCCAAGTGTGAAGCCGCTGGGATGAGAATCAGCACCTCCAAATCTGAGGCCATGGTGCTCGACCGGAAAAAGGTGCCTTGCCCTCTCCGGGTGGGCGGAGAGGTCCTTCCTCAAGTGGAGGAGTTCAAGTATCTCGGGGTCTTGTTCACGAGTGAGGGAAGAATGGAGCGTGAGATTGACAGGCGGATCGGTGCAGCGCGCGCAGTGATGCGGTCGCTGTATCGGACCGTTGTGGTGAAGAAGGAGCTGAGCCGAAAGGCAAAGCTCTCAATTTACCGGTCAATCTTCGTTCCCTCCCTCACCTATGGTCATGAGCTGTGGGTAATGACCGAAAGAACGAGATCGCGGATACAAGCGGTCGAAATGAGCTTCCTCCGCAGAGTGGCTGGGCGCTCCCTTAGAGATAGGGTGAGGATCTCGGTCACACGGGAGGAGCTCGGAGTAGAGCCGCTGCTACTCCACGTCGAGAGGAACCAGTTGAGGTGGCTCGGGCATCTGTTCCGGATGCCTCCTGGACGCCTCCCTGGGGAGGTGTTCTGGGCACGTCCCACCGGGAGGAGGCCCCGGGGAAGACCCAGGACACGCTGGAGGGACTATGTCTCTCAGCTGGCCTGGGAGCGCCTTGGGGTCTCCCCGGACGAGCTGGAGGAAATGGAAATTAATGAAATGAAATGGCAACCACATGAAAATGAGTCTGGCCCTCCTCAATATACCGATATTCCAATGGGCCCACCAGAGAAAATAATTGTGCACTCCTGGGTTAGATGCAAATGATTCTCCAGCGTTCAAAAATCGGTCCTTTCGTTCATTTTTTTCATGGATAATACACTGTGTTTATTGCAACAGAAAGAGTCTTTTCAGAGTTAAAGAGTGAGCCTTAAAAGAGTATATCTTGTAAGTATTTTTTGATGCTTTGGTCTGAGAGCTGATTTGTTGAGCAAGAAAAAAACTGAAGAGGTCACAAGATAATAGTGCATGTAAAAAAGAGTAATAAGTAATGGAGCTAGTTAGATGGGCTTTACTACATCGTTAAATGTTTGTGATTTGAAAGTTAGGTAGGCTGACCTACCTAACATATAGTTGGAGTTATTCACTATAAATGAGAGCAATATTAAATAACTGCTTCTCTGTCACAATAAACAGAAAATGTCATCATTCAGATCTAAAATATTAGCTATCACAAACCTTACAACAATAATGGCTTTTATTTTCAATTTTCTTTGTAAATTTTCTTTTCTTTGTAAATAAACAGTTACCAAATATCTATTTCACATGATGAGATTCGTCCTGACTATTTAAAGTCTCTGGATGTTGTTGGACTGTCTTGGCTGACACGTCTCTGCAACATCGCGTGGCGATCGGGGGCGGTGCCAATGGAGTGGCAGACCGGGGTGGTGGTCCCTCTCTACAAGAAGGGGGACCGGAGGGTGTGTTCCAATTATCGTGGGATCACACTCCTCAGCCTCCCCGGTAAGGTCTATACTCCAAGGTACTGGAGAGGAGGCTACGGCCGTTGGTCGAATCTCGGATTCAGGAGGAGCAGTGTGGTTTTCGTCCCGGCCGCGGAACACTGGACCAGTGCAGCCAAGTGTGAAGCCGCTGGGATGAGAATCAGCACCTCCAAATCTGAGGCCATGGTGCTCGACCGGAAAAAGGTGCCTTGCCCTCTCCGGGTGGGCGGAGAGGTCCTTCCTCAAGTGGAGGAGTTCAAGTATCTCGGGGTCTTGTTCACGAGTGAGGGAAGAATGGAGCGTGAGATTGACAGGCGGATCGGTGCAGCGCGCGCAGTGATGCGGTCGCTGTATCGGACCGTTGTGGTGAAGAAGGAGCTGAGCCGAAAGGCAAAGCTCTCAATTTACCGGTCAATCTTCGTTCCCTCCCTCACCTATGGTCATGAGCTGTGGGTAATGACCGAAAGAACGAGATTGCGGATACAAGCGGTCGAAATGAGCTTCCTCCGCAGAGTGGCTGGGCGCTCCCTTAGAGATAGGGTGAGGATCTCGGTCACACGGGAGGAGCTCGGAGTAGAGCCGCTGCTACTCCACGTCGAGAGGAACCAGTTGAGGTGGCTTGGGCATCTGTTCCGGATGCCTCCTGGACGCCTCCCTGGGGAGGTGTTCTGGGCACGTCCCACCGGGAGGAGGCCCCGGGGAAGACCCAGGACACGCTGGAGGGACTATGTCTCTCAGCTGGCCTGGGAGCGCCTTGGGGTCTCCCCGGACGAGCTGGAGGAAGTGTGTGTGGATAGGGAAGTCTGGGCGTCTCTGCTTAGACTGCTGCCCCCGCGACCCGGCAACGGATAAAGCGGAGGAAAATGGATGGATGGATGGATGGACATGATATGCTTCTGACTTCGAGGCCAACATGCACATGACCAGGCCTGTCATAATAACAATGAGTGATTTATTGATTGAGAAGATTATTCAGCGAAACTACTTCCTGCCAAGTACAATAATGCAGGAAATTCTCAGTAAAGCAATGTTTCTATTGGTAAATTTAATTAAAAAGCATTAGTTGTGAAAATCAACAGCAAAATAGGTTCATGTGACATCACATCATCCCAAAGAGCATATGCCAGTAGTTAGAAATAAATAAATCCCGTCTTAGTTTAAATATAATTAATCTGTAATTAATCTTCTTTCATCAACTATGGTCTAAATGTGTTATCATAGGGATGTCAATATGGTGGCAATAAGATAAAAAAAAACATGCCAATGTTTTTAGTTTTTATTCTAGACTTTCAGAATAGAATAATATGGCAAGTTTTTGAATCCAATCACTAAAATATGTAGACTTTTTTGTTGTTGTTACATTTCTTTACAAAATTGCTTCTTTTTTAGAAAATTGCATTATAAGATGTCGTCCTAGTGAAATAGAGTGCAAACATATCTCAACCTTCTCAAGAAAATGTATGAATGATAAAAAATGCAATGTTTTATCCATCAGTTACTGAACAGCAAGTCGTGACAGGCTTACACTTGACTAAGTTCATGTGATCCTCAAAACAAAATCTAAAATCGTTAAAAACTGGGGGTGCCACACTTGAAACCACATTACTTCCTGTCTATATCTGCTTTTAGTACTTGCTTCAAACAAGCTGCGGGTGCGTTCCCTTTCTCCCCTCTCGCCTTCATGTGCCTTATCTCCACGCTGCATCCCTGCAGGCACTGGCCCATGGTTGAACCTGTGACCCCCCTGAGAGCGGCCGGCCTTCAGAACACAGAGCAGGGGGCCGCTGTTGTGTGCTCGCTGCAGCTGCACTGGCCCTCTGCTCCAAAGGCTGCCAAAGAGGTGCGCAGACAGCATTCACATTCAAATCCTACCAGGCGGAAGGAGCAAGGAAGCGGCGGGCGGAGGGGAAGAAACCGGGGAGAAGAGAGAGAGCGAGAGGGGTGGGGGTGCTTTAACACGGTGAGGGCTGAGAGCTCGTAGAGGTGAAAAGTTTAACAAGCAAAGCTGTTCCTCCTGATCGCAGGCTGCCTAATCAGCTTCATGGGTGGCTGGCTAAATCGGCTCTCAACTCGACCCCCCGCCCCACTGGCCTGCAATCTTTTCTTCTCTCCCCTCTTGCCAAGGTGCAAGTCATTTATTTTATTGCCACTTTCCATGCTAGCTTCTGTCTCTTTCTCTTTTCCGCCTTTTCCCTCGCGTTCATTTCGCGTGTGCACTTACTGCGAGCTTGAGAAGTGAAAGTGAACAAGGTAGAAAATAAGAGAGTATGCAGGGGCTTTTTGGGAGACGAGGGAGGCAGGGATGAAACCGGATGTCTGGGGTCTCTCTCGGCAGGATTAGGAAACAGAGAATCTGGGACTGAGCTGGATGGAGCGATGAGGAGCGGAAGGGATAGACTGACAAGCTTGAATAAATAGCCAAGTGGTTTGTGATGTTGGGGAAGGGAAGATAGGAAAGAAAGAAAGGGGTGAGGTAGGAGTAGGTACCAAGCAGGGAGCAGCCCAGTCAGGCCTATTTATGCAGTCACAACACACGCACACACACACACACACACACTTCCTATACCCCTGTGTGTATTTTGAGAGAAATTAAAATTCATGACTCTCTCTTCACAACCATTTGAGTAACAAGATTAAGATGGTGGGTTAGAAAATAGCACTGGCATTATCAGGCCTCTTGCAGTCCCTCCAGCTGCTTGCCTCTCTATTCCACAACAGTGGGATAAGAGGATAACGCGGACCTGTCTGTCCGTCCCAGCGCAGCAGCATGTTAGGCCAGTCTGCAGCTGCAACTGCTTTTGGAGATGGTGGTAAAGCTAAAGATGACAGGTTAAAGAAAATTATTAATTTTTAACTAAAATAATTATAAAACATAATAATCAGCATAATATTATCAATAATATGTATTTTGTTCTGGAAATTCCAAAACACATTATCAAAGTAAATGTAACTGCAGCTTACAGCTGCCCTTTGGTAGATGGAGTGAAGCGAGGCGGCCTATCTCAGCCATCAGGTCCTTTGACCACCACCATTCAACCGTACACCAGACTCATACCAGGCAACGTGGGTGAAGTGTCTTGCCCAAGCAAAAAACAACAGTTTACTTTTCAATTTTAGTCAATGAAGCCAAAGCGAGATGGAGAAAAACTTCCCTGAGAATTTCCCTATTGGATTTCATTGAGCTATGGGGTTAGCATTGTCCATCTTTATAAAGTCTATGGTAGCGCCACCATTTTTTTTGCATTGGAAGAGGTATTAACTTTGTATTCCAAAGGAATCATCCTAGCGACAAAGTACTTCCAAGTTACAGTGTTGCTTAAAGTAGTCGAGTATTCTACCAATATACACTTTGATTCATTGAGTATTTTCTTACTGTACTTTCGACACAACATTCCTAAACGCATATGACATTAACATCTAAGACAAATATGACTCAGAGAAATAAAAAAGGAGTTGTGAAATACTTGTAATGTTGATTGTAGTATGAGTGTCGATCAGTGCAGCGCTGCGCCACATGGAAACAGCTCCGTGTGAAACAAGTGTCGCAATTAGCTCAGTGCGCTCCAGATTCACATGGTTTTAGCTCATTGTAAAAATTAACCTTGAGGCAATTAAACTGTAATTCTACAGTTTTTATTATGTAATGATTAGATTCTATTTCATCCCTAGTTACTTTAAGATTGAACATTTATAAAGGTCTAGAGTTAGAAGCGTTATTTGAATCATATGAATGTGCAGCGATCATTGAGATCTTCTACACATGCCTCCTGCTGATAGAGAAGCAGTGTGTGTGGGGATAATGTAGGCCTATGTTTGGGTGTGATATCATCAGGAGCCATTTCTGTGTAATGTGCAGCCAAGTGTCTGAGTGAGGTGTGCGTGTGGGGAGGAGTGAGGGGCCCTGTCTTCATGAAAACATAATTTGGACATATGAAGAATTGACTTCAGAAGGGTCTCTCGTGCAGTGTGGGAGTAGCTCAATGCAAAGGTAATTGTAATGTTGTAATGTTTTTGCCTGTCGTGGGTCCCAGGTTCAAATCAAATCATAATAACTTTATTAATCCATGAGGAACTTAATTTACAGACAAAGCACCGGTGAGGGTACACAAAAACACAGAAGCACACGATCTAAGCATAAATACAATAAAAGAGCAGAAATACAATATAAAATACATAAAACAAGTCTCGGAGCAGCTGTTTAAAAGGCAAATTGAGGTGGGGAGGAAGCTGGATGTGGCCCTTTTTGTTTTGAATGGGAGGGACCTGAACCTACGCCCTGATGGGAGCAGACTGTAGTGAGAGTGCAGAGTGTGGGAGCTGTCTGTGGAGATCTGGGAGTTCTCTACTGATTGGTCAGAGGAGTGAGGAGTGCAGTGGCTTCTCGTGTAAAGAGAATACAAATGACTTAAACATGCATTAATCTCGCTCAAAAACTTTAAAGACAAGGAAAACAATTATAACATGGTCAAAAGCCGTGGAAGGTTGTTTTTGAGGTTATGCCCCCGAGTTAAAACTTGGAAAAGTAAATAAAAGTTCATTCATAGTGAGTAGATATCTGTGTCTTTTTCTCTCCTACGTCTGTTTCGGTTTTGTTCCTGCTGCTGCACTGAGACGTTAAGGCAGTTATTTATTACAGTATTCAACACAGCGCTTGTTAAAATTAAACACTTGTTCAATGACACTGTTACCTGACGCTTGCATTTGAGGCTGGTTTCTTTGTTAGGATTAAGATTAGCTTTTTTTGAAAACACAAAAGGGAGCTTTTCATTTTACAAGGTGCCATTTTTCTTTTTGAAAAGTGTTGTATCTTGTGGTATTATTGAAGGCCTCAGACGGAAACATGTGCTGGAGATATGAGCAGGATTCCATCATGTACGGGAGCTTCAGGATGCTGTGCTGCAGTAGTAGTGGTAGTGGGTATTTTCTTATTCCATTGTGTTAGATAATAATAAAACTTAACCTTTAAGTGCAGTAGTAACAGAGGTGGTGGTGCTAACACAACATTTCAGTTGGTATTTTGTTATTCTATTGTGTTAAGTTTATTTATTTTATTTATTTATTTTGTTCCTTACGAGCTTATAACGGTACAAGCATCCAAATGTACATTGGTGCACTAGTGGACAGATATTGTTAATAAATGTACAACTTACAACTACATTATTAACACACGTGCAGTAGTAACATAGGTGGTAGTAACACAAAATAACACAAAAACATGTAGGTTTTTTCTATTTTAATGTGTAAGGTAATAATAATAATTCACCTTTAAGTGCATGTCCCAGACGTAGGGGTCGTACTGCTGGTGTTGAGAGATGACCAGTCCGGCCTGCTGGGCCAGATCACAGAAAAGAGCAAGAGTCTGACCTCTGCGTGGAGCGAAGACCAGCGCGGTGCCCTGGAGACAAACAACAGATGCAGAGCTTTTGTAGCAAATTAAAGAAGAAATATTATGCATTCTTTTTGAATATTAAAAATGAGGGGTTTTACTTTGTCACTTGTTTTAGAATGTTAAGTAACATCTTCTGTAACTCACAATTTTTTTCCAAATGTGACCAGCTGCAATTGAGACTCTTAACTTTTCCCTGTGCTGCCTTTATTGTATTGTGTTATTTAGTATTTTGTTGTATTGTATGTTGAAAGATGAAAACTAGCTTGGTAGCTATAATCCGGCATACTTATACTGATGTTCATTCATGTGAAAATAAATAAATAAAATCATGTGGCAGTACGTGATAGTGACGTCATTTCATCTGAAAAATGTAGCAGGCGATACTTTTGAGTGTGATGTCATAGTGGTACAATGACATCACACTATTAGAGGAGGGGCGGCCCTACATGTTTGTGCCTTGTTAGAAGTTCCTTACAGCAAGGATGGATCTAATAACAAGTCTAGATCCGTCTTTGATGATGGACAATGTTGAACATGGCTAAACACTCTCTTTTAAATGAAAGTGCAGACTATGCATTTGTTGTTGAAGTTGAATATAAACAGTGTGTTGCTAAATGTTGAGATGAGGTCAATTGCATGATTCCAGGGAAAAAAGTTGAAAATATACAAACAAATTCTATATGGAGATAGATACATGTTATCCCAAGTGATGGCTCTAAATCGCTTGCATTTACAGCATCTACAGCTAGTTAGGCTAGTTAACAAAAATAGCTACTACTTATTTTGTATTTTGTAGCTGCAACATCAAAATTTCCCCACTGTGGGACGAATAAAGGAACTCTTATCTTATCGTATCTTAAATCAGGTTGGTGAAGTCTACGGTGTTATTTTCATAGTATTTCGGTGAGAAAAACATCAACAATAGAATAATAATAAAACAACAAACTTTTTTTTTTTTTTTTTACCTCTTTTGGATAAACAGTTATTCAGTTGGGCTTTGACCAAAACGGAAAACTATTTTAATCCAATCCAGCAGTGAATTGTAAACAGAGCAAAGTAGGTGTGGGTATGATCTTCTGAAACACACGCTACATCACAGGCTACAGACAAAGCGGATTAGCAACAGGTTTAAAGTTTTTTGAAATCCTGAAGCTTTCTGTTTAATTTCATAATTTTATCATCGTACTACTGCAGTTTTAATTAAATGGGCAGAAGCGGCAGAGTGTGAGTGGTAGATACAGACACAAAGCTCAAGGCTCACAAAGCCAGTTGGAACAGCAGGATCGCATCTACACCTCCCCTTTAACCAACACACAACACTCAAATCAGCTGATTAGAGGATTCGCCATATGATCCACCTCTGTCAAAAACAACAAATTAGTACCATTAAAAAGATAATTAATTGCTTTGTTATTTGTTAAAGCAGCTTAACACAACATTCAATATTTGCCAAAGCTTGTTATGGTTGTGGCAGTCTGTTGGTCCACAGTTAAATCATATTAGCAGTGGATTTATCTGTTGTGGATTAAACAGATGCAAATATGAGGTGAGACTTAACACACACATGTACAACAATGGCCACATGTCAGGTCAGTGCTCCCACAACATTTACTTTCCCCACTGTGAGACGAATAAAGGAATATCTTCTCTTCACTCTATGGTCGAGGCTGTAAGAAGTTATCATTAGAACTGGGTGTAATATTTTCAGTGTATTAATTTGTACATTCTTTATATGTCCCCAGATAATAGATCAACAAGTGCAAATCCCAACATGAGCCCTTTCTTCTTGGACATGATTGCCAATTTATGTTTATGAATTTCAAGCAATTCAACCAATCAGAGAGCAGAATGAGTTGACTAATATGTGGACTGAAACTTGGCGTTTCTACGACAAACTTTACGCCGGACTGGCTCCCATCAAGTTTTGTAAGGGGAGGAAGAACTACATAGGTTTCCATGGCAACCTTTACCACAAATGATTTTTTTTTTTTTCCCAGGAACCCATTCATTTCACTGGGTACTAAGCACATAGCGTCGCTCTTGTGAGGAGAATATTCGTCCATATGACAGTTACAACCCAGGCATTACTTGTTGGGAAATCAATAATGAAGCTATAGAAATAGAAACCATTGAGTTTAGATAGCATATTAAAACTGTGCTATACCATCCTTTCCAATTAGCTTGTCACTCGTTTTCTTTTCCTTTCCATAAATAAAATCCCATGTCAGTCAGCTGTGCATGGTTAAACACACCCTCTCCCTTCGTCTCTCTGCGTCTCTCTCACATGAATGGGAGAATCTCAGCCCTATCTCTGCCTGCTTTTCTGTCTTTCCCCCATTTGCTTTGGCTGTCGCAGCATGGGGTCTTATCGCTGGGCCAAAAGGGAGAAGTCGCCTTGTATTTATGATGAAGGAAAGGCGGTCGCGGATCAGAGCGCTGTATTCAAGTTGTTCATAATAAGCATTAAAGCATTACATGATATTAATCCTGTCCACCAATTAATGTGCAGAGGCTCGGGGCCACGGCCTAGTTGTGATTGAGAGGAGCGGGCTTAGATGTATGGTCTGCACAGACACTTACTTTGGGGTGCAGTAATCTTCTTATAGCATCAACCAGGCTGGCTCTGAACTGGTCCAGGAACAAACTGAGGAAAACAAGAGCGCCCGGTTAGAATGTGCACTTACGATGGCAGCGGCAGATAAACCTCAGCCTATTTATTTCGCTTTGTTTACAAATAAATCGACCAACAGCAAGAAGAGGCGAAAAACAATTTGCATCAGTAAAATGTTTCCTTTTCTGTTTACGTGGGAGTTTTCAGGTGCATTCAACTCGGCTCTAGGAAGAATGCAAAACGAGAGCCGCAAAGATAGAATCGAGCTCAGCAAACAATCATTCACCTGATCAATTCAAAGTGGTAAAAAGGCTGGAATGTACAGGCATATGTTGGGGATTTAAGGGGTTAAGACATGTCAGTGGCTAGCAGTCTCACTTCTCAGCAAGAAGGTCCAGGGTTCGAACCCCCGGTTGGAACAGGGCAGGCAGTAGTCTGAGTGGGGTTTGCATGTTCTCCCCATGTCTGTGTTGGTTTCCTCAGGTTTCTCCAGTTTCAACCACCATTAAAGACATGTGCAATAGCCTCCATACCTATAACATTATGTATAGGTTTTCTACAGTTGTTTTTTGTGAGGCTTTTAGACCATTTTCTTCTATAGGAGGATCTTTGTTTACATCCGCGTGCGCATGCGCCACTCGCTGAGTGGCAAGAAGAAAGAGCGGCACATACTGAAGCATGTATGCGACGAGTACTTTTAAAAGACTCAGTGGGTGAAATGCACTATATATTAACACTTTAACGCAAGAAGATCAGAGGAGGTATAAAGACAAGCTAATAATAAGTACAGTATACGAACTGAACAAATCCAAAGCCCATATGAGACCTGGGATGACGAGAAAAAACATTGGTCAGACTCGCCTAGGTCTTGGCACCGATCTGCTGGGACTGGGACTTGGAGACATTCATTCTTACTTCATAGAAAAGAAGGTCCACGCAAGAAGGGTCCGTGGTGAAAAACCATTTCTCGCGTTTTTCACCACGATAAAGTGGCCCGGCTTTTTGCCGTCGCGGTAAAGTGGTCCGTACATTAAAAGCGGGTGGCTCCTTTAGCCCGTGGGAATGAGCACCCAAAATGCAATGTTTAAAATTCATCATCACAGTGAACAAGTGTGCAGTGAAAGTAGTTGCAAAACTTCAATTTTTTATGAATTTTTATCCCCTCATCCCCGCGGCTTCCCGTTCTATGTTTACCGTAGGTAGGTAAAAGAGGCAACCCGCTTTTAATGTGCGGACCACTTTGCCGTGGCCGTTTTTCACAGTTCTTCTCCGAAGGAATTAGAAAAAAAAACGGCCACACATTAAGAATGGACCATTTGATTTAGTAAAACCTCTCTCCAACCGTCTAAAACTAGCCAACTCTTTTGCATCCAGATAGCTTTCGATGCCGTTTTGCCACCAAGTCATGTGACCGGCGCAGAAAAACGACGTCACTCCAGGATCCTCCTAAATATGTCCACACAATATGCTAGCATTTATTGAATATTAAACTAAAATGAAGTTAAGTTAACCCTTTAGGTGCCAGAGTTTAGTTTTAATAATTTGAATAGACAAAAGTTGGATCCCTGGAACTTTCTAGAAGACTGCAGTAAAATCAGAAAATAAATAACGAGGAAATACATTTTATAAAAATGTTGAAAAACGTCTGTGTGAAGCCACTTCCTGGAAAAGCCTTCCTGGATTCAAAAGCTCTACATTCAGCGCCTATGATTAAGTTGTTGTAACAAACTGTAAATCTAATTGTAACTAATCTTCTACACGTGTGGCCTCAAAACACACAGGTGACGACAGAAAAGGTGCGCTGTTAAAACTGTCGCCAAATACATCAATAAAACATCCTATTATCAACAATAGGTGTTCAATGGGCTGGGGATCCACACAAATCCCCAAAGTCTTTTAGCATCACCTCTAATCACTGGGAACAAAGTAACACCTGTCTCTATGAACACAGCACCACATTTCAATCCATTATGAAGCTGGTGTCCATGTGCGCACCTATTATCACAGATGAGAGTGCAGTAATTTGACTAAAACGCAACAATGCCGAGCAGATTTGACATAATCTGCCGCATCCGTTCCACTATCACAGAGGCAATCTGTAGATAATTTTCCAATCCTGACACATGGCCTTTACCTGAAATCCTGCTTGATCCCAAAAAGCAAAAAAAAGAGGCAGATCTCTACTGTTGATTAGATCTATGCCATTGGTGTGTCTTGCATTCAAAGTTTATTATTTTTGAAGGATTGTCCAATGCGGGGGTTTATTTAACTTGAAAGGTGAGAGGTGTATGTTTTGGTTTGTTTTGTCACAGATATTGGTAGACGGAAAAGTGGCCGGAGAAGCAAAACAAGGAAGTGGGCAAGGCGGGTGGAGGCCCAACAATCACAGACATATAGGCCATAGGAAGGACGCGGAGTCATGTCGGGGACGGCTGCAGAGGTCGGGGTGAGGTGAGAAAATACATACATACAGACGGGTGTAATTATCAGTCGGACATGGGATGGCACTGCACATGTACCTAGCTTCTGCCCTGTGTTTTGGGTCTCACTATGACACCAATATTTTATTTTACTGACATAAAAGGAAAGAACATTGTCAATCACACTTCACTGACAGACAACCCAAAGCCACTCAACATTCATAGACCCTAGAATTGAGTGGTGTATCCTAAAGGTCTCTTGTCGTGCACAGTCCTATTGTCCCAGTCCGACCCCTCCCACTCAGGATGGCCCCTCAGTCTGGTCAAAGGTCAGTGGTCATGGCGGTGCATGTCTGTGAGCGACCGTGATGACTATATTTATCTGCCTAAACTCATGTGATCATCATGGCTGTCACGCAACGGGTGGAAACAATTACATCATTTGTTGCAGCCCAAAGCCGATGCTACAATACATCTAATAACTACAATTTATTTGTAACTAATATACATAACTCTAATGAATGTATCTGTGGGCTGAAATAAAAGGTTTATCTTGTATCAAACTAACCTCAAAACAGACAAAGGCTCATAATGACAGACTGATAGTTTCTGTTTTTTACACAAGAAAAAAGAGAAAGGAGCTTTTAGATATGGGGCTTGTGCTTGAAGTGAAAAGATTAAAAATCACTGATATACAGTATTTACACAGTCAAGACTAGCCCTCTTCTTCCATTTTAAATGATTGTAGAAAAATACCACAGTACCACTTTAAGGCACTTAAATAACTGTTGTAATGGCTCTACCTGGAATGAACAATTTACTTTGCTATTCCCAAATTTCCAATGCCTTGGTCCCGATCTCCTCTGTTCTTCTCTCGTCTCCGCACAGCGGTGGCTCCAGTTGCATCAGTAGGAGCTATAATTAATCCAAGAGGGGGCCGTGTTGTTGACCTTTTTGCAGATCATCATCACAAAGATGCGCTCGCTAATCGGTCAGCCATCACTCTACCACTGACAAACCGCAATTATTACACCTCCCTCCAGATTCACCAACTCAGCAAAGCTTATTTTTCATATACCTCAGAGTTAATGCATGGTAAATATTAAGTCACAGAATATACAGTATAATATATATCTTTTGTGCATAGACTGGCAATACCCAGCTAGAGTGACGCCTTTCTATTAGCTGTCTGCTTCAGCTCTTTCCAGTTCTTATATCTGGCTATTACATGTAATGACCGTGACATTATCATAATGATAACTGTGTTTTGCTAATGCCAATGCACTTACTGTAGTCCGCACAAACACTAAAAAAGGCTCTGGTCATTGTGTAATGTGCATTTATTCTAAATCTTCATATTCAGTAGGAACATAATTTGTATTGTTGTTGGCGTGCTGGTGTAACTCGGGTTACTTCTGTGTCACAGGTGAGACACAAGTGTTCAAAATGTATAATTACACTTACCATTCGCAAACCACATAGTACACAAAACTGGGCATATTTTGTTTTTTGATTGGAACAGTGCTCGTTGGATGGACACCATACTACAAACAAGAGACTTCCAGTCCTTGTACCAAAGAGCTGGAGTCACTTTTTGTCATTATTTGCAGTTGCAATTACAGCCACTTGCTATAACCATTAAAATCTCAATACAAATCTATTCAAATAAAAAACTGTCCAGCCTACAAACCACCTACCCGCTTCTTAAACTGTGAACAATGTGGGTAATATGACTTTTGCTAAAACTTGGAAGCGATAATACTTTTGACACTTTTGCCATTAAAAGTCCAAAAGAAGAAGTGAGGCCATCAACTCCAGTTAAGTTTAGTGACTGCTTCCACACTCGTGCCTTCTCAGATTGGACAGAGTGCACTAAGCCATCTTGATGAATTCAATCTCACTTGCGACATGAGCAATTGGACAAGATTTAATTTGAGATTGCCCAAGATCTACATTTCAATGAGCACAGACTAATTGTTATGTTTATGTTGCTCTATCGCTCCATTTTCATCTCCATTTCTGCTCCTCCTTTCTTCCTCCCTCAACTCTTTCTTTATCTTACTGTGTCTCCGTCCTTGTCAAGGCGCAATTATTTGCAATTTGCCTAAGTCATCCATTTGCTGGCACACCAAGCATGAAAACGAGGCAATTTAGTGTAAAATGGAGGCACGTGGGCACCAGAGCATATGTATCTATGCATGTGTGTGTGTATGTGTGTGTGTGTGTGTGTCTGTGGGTGTGGGTGTGGGTGTGTGTGTGTGTATGAGAGAGACAAGAGTCCAGCCAGATTCTGGGGCAAAGCTAAAAATGTCACAAAAAGTTGGCAAGGCTAGATTTTTTTTAACTAACCAGTCAGCGCACATGACCACGTCAAAGTGACCCTCCAGCGGTGAGATGTCTGAATCGCAGTCCCATCGCAGGACCCTGTAAAAAAAAAAATCACCCAATTAACGCAATAAAAGCATATAGAACAAGTACTGGCTAAACTGGAATTAAAAGGCAACCTATAAATGTGTCAACGTTCATAGAAACAAAGCAACTTGGTTTGAATCATCATCATGACATTTACATTATACTTATGTAGCTGGCTAAAAATGGTGGCATTCTGACCCGCGTGGAGCTTTTGGCAGCAACAATGCAGATTCAGCACAAACATATTTCTTTTACTGATACACTCACTTGGAAAAATAAGTAGATAACATTGTCTTTTGTAGCAGTCGAATGATTACTGTGATCTTTGCAGCACAGAAAACTAAATGTCTTTTAGTTGTCATGTCCGTACACGACTTCCTGATTCATTTAAAGTGAGTTTTCAGGCTCTGGGTGTAAGGCTCCAGGGGTCTGCACCAATGAATATAACATCGCACAAACAAGTCGTTCATAATTAAATCAATGAAAGTAATGCTCAAACAACAAAATTCAGCAATGTTTTTCAACCATTGGTTGACAGTCTGCCTTGAGATGTGGTTTGGTCACATCATTGTACTTCAAAATAATGTGACATGGAAATAATGTCAATAATAATCCTTACATTAGAAATACTTTTTTGCAGCTATTTTTTTTTCTTTATTTATTATAAAGAAAAAAAACTTTCTGCCGGTTTTAAAAATATATATATTTCAAACTAGTGGAATATTTTATTGTAATTTTCTGTCCAATATACCTGAAGTGCAAACTCTAGATCAGGAATATTGGACAGAAAATGACAATTGAAAATGACTGGAGAGTTTACTCCACAGCTGTCATTAAAAAAAAAATCTTCTTCTTCTTATATATAGTAATTACATATGGGAATACACCTAAGTCTTGAAAGTCAAAATCTGTCCATAAAGAGCACATGAAAGGAAGCTGACCCCCACTGTTTTTCTGCCTGGGTGAAGAATCGGAGAAAGCAGTGCTGAAGGAGACATGTCGTGTCTGAGGTGAGTCCGGGGAGCGTCTGACATGACACTTGACATTTATACTGCGCACAGAGCCACAGCCACCTCTCCAGCAGACCTCCCCCTCCCCAAGCCCACCTGCGCTTCCCTTTCTTAGCACCTTTTTACCCCCTTCATCTCATCCTTCCACATCATTTTCCCTTCTTAGACTGTCAGGCCGACTGGAGGATTATTAATTAGACATTATTAACACTCAGTAAACAAAACATTAGGCTCGGCAAGAAACACAATCTCCAATCGCAGCAGGAGCTTGACACCCCCTCCCTCGCCCCTCCCTTCCCGCTGCTCTCGTCCAATCACATGGTGCCCTTCGCCCTCTCTCGCCTGGCGCACATGACAGCAGGCATAATCTGAAAAGAAAACAATCAAAGTAATGTAGCCTAATTATACGTTTACTTTTTCACTTCATCTATCCCCTCATGTAAATAGGAGCAGGAGAACAAGAGAGGGAGAGAGGGGAGGAGGAGAGATAGTGGACAAAACAAATGACATTTTAGAGCCATTTGGTGGATATAGATAAGTTCCACATGAGGACCTCCTATCAAAGAGAATGAATTGCTTGATTGAGTCTGTATGTACATGCTTGTTGGACACCTTTTATATCAAACAAGAAAGTTGTGAGGGAGAAAAAGATGCACACACCCAAAGTGATATGGGGAATAACAGCTCCTTTGTACCCAAGTGTGTTTACCTTAAAACAATACTATTTTTTTAGTATAGCTGCGCAGCTGCTGGGTGTAAGACAGACCTATCCAAATTAATGCTAGTCAACTAATAAACCATAATTAACGTATGTGCTCCCATGGCATGTTACACCTCATGACCACATAATTTGTTTTCCCAATGAAATCAATAACATTAATTTATCCAGAGCTTACTTTTAGTCCAGTTAGGTATAATACAACAAATTATAAAATATTTTTCTCAAGATATATCCATAATGTAAAATGATTAAATATAGCACTCTCTCTCTACTTTTCTTTAAATATTTGTGTTTATCAAATACAGACATTTTTCAACAAAGTAGCTTTCACTGCGTTATTAGAATTGAGCAAATATGTAAAAATAAAAAAAATGGTATCAGCATGAAAACAAGTCCTGTCCTCCACAATATCTGGACAGCTGGATGCGGCCCCTGGAGAACACAAAGGCCCACCCTGGGGTAGTCTTACCTGGCAGACACACTTGTGGAGCTGAAGACCCCAGATTGCCTATTTTTGTCCACCAGCTCCCGCACATCTGGCACAGGCAGTTAAGGATACAAAACCATTACAAACTAACACATTACTGACTTCCAGAACATTAAAGGATTAAATTTAATATAGAGAAAAAAAATGAATAGAAAAAGAGTTAATGTTGTAAAGGATATTTGCAAATATAACTTTGTATGTATATTCCTGAAGTCTATGATTCCCGCTAAGTATTTTAAAAAGACATTGTACTTTTGTCACTTTTTTGATAGGTAGTTGTAATCTCTGACAGCCAAGGGTCTTTATTTCTAAAGGTTAATTAAAGTATTTAAGATCTCACTTTTGAGAACTTTTGATAATCAAAAATCTGAATACTTTTTAATCTTTAGAAACGTACAAAATATTTCTAACGAAAGGAGCTAAAAGACGTCTCCAAAGTCCGGCCCTTTTCCTGAATGCTGCCAAAACAGGAACAAGAACTAAAACAGTTCCTACAGTGTGATAATGCTTGATATGTTTCATTTCAAGCAAAGAAGGATTCCAAATACTGTTAGGTCAAACACTATTTTATGATGAACTGGCGAAGGAGCATCTCCTCTCAGATACTTTTTGAACATAACCACTGCTTAAACACAATGGACAGCAAAGACAGGGCACATGAGCTTAGTGCAGAGTATGATGAGAGTTTGGACGACCACAGCGTGACCCAGAAGCGGGTAAATCAACAGCGATGCATGAAGAAACAGCTGTATGTCTTCTGTAGCTTGAGCGAGCAGCAGGACTAATATCTCTAGGGAGGAGCAGAAGAGGCCTGCAGGAGAAGATCACAGAAGTCTCATGATGAATCAATGGAGAGGCTTTTACCCACCACATATGCACAAAGTTACACCGGCCGCTCCACACACACACACACACACACACACACACACACACACACACTGATGATTGTGCAACAAAGCCAGGCCGATTGATGTCAAGTTGTCTATTAATACACTAGCTTCTAGAGTCGGAAAGCAATTCAATTAGGATTTCCTTGTCTTTAAAGCCACCAAAGAGCTACATCCAATCGACAACAACAGACATGGGAAGGAGAGAATATAGGCGAGTGGGGGAAGAATGGATGAGGACACCGATTCAACGTGTTATAGAAACCAAACTGCACTAATGATGAGTGGGATGAAATGAGAAGACAATTTTGAAGCCATGATTTTATGACGGACACCTGGGCATAAGTGTATTAAGACTAGGATGACAGGGCGAAGAGCAGAGCAGCTTACGGTAATCTCATCACTAGCACACCACTGGGGGAGAGGTCAGTGAAGCGCACACAAACGGTATAGTGACACACAAGTGGAGCGGAGCGCACACAGGAGATTGGGACATTATCGAACATTAGTACAGGAATAATTAGGCACATAATTTCAAGTGGGCCATGACGTCCATCAGTCATACTTAAGAATGAGAATCGTCCAAGGTCAAGGGCCATTTCCTGAGATTTCTGCCCATCCTCAACTAGAAACTTTCTCAAACTGGAAAAACACTCAATTAGGAGAATATGAATGTTTATCCTGTACAAACAATGATAGTTTTATTTTTGTAGTCAGTTATTTAAGTGTAGATTATTATTTGATAGAAGGATGGATGGGTACCTATGGGTTTGAAGGATTGGCAACTATTTAGAAACATAAGCAGAAACATATTACTCATGTATTAAATTGAAGCAGTGGTGTATTTCACAGGTCATTTCAATTCACAAATTCTCGTGGTTACAAAACAAATCACCGCATTGCATTTTGATTGTATTAGTTTGCACTGGGCTCCTGAAATTAAAAGCATATTAGTGCTTGCCTATATATTCAACCTAAAAACTGTATTATTTTTGCTGTGAGAAATACAATTCTCACAACAAAAATAATACAGTTATAGGTGCCATTTTCACACATTGATTAGCAAACGTGAACAGGTCAATATCTCAGTGTGATCTTTTAAACTGTGCTATATCACAACTCACTGTCACTTTCCACCATTATACCTGCAGTCCATCCATCAAAGCTGCTTCCTGTGTGAGCAGATTTGCCCAACAAAAGTGTGTGAACCAATGGATATTGTTTTGGTCCATTCTGACTATAATTTCACTTACAATTCTCTCTGCGTTTGTTGTGTGAAACAAAGCAGCCAGTCAATAGCACATTGTCTGCGTGGCCAAGAGTGTGTGCTAGTGAGTTACAGGCTCATTGTTTGGGCTTACTGTGATCGGTACAGGAGCATTGTAGACAAATATGGTGGAGATAATGTAACCAGAGCTAAATGTGGAAGTGTTGTATCAGTCAATGGGGAAGAAATGTGTATTTATATTTCCGGCTATTGTGGACAAACTATGGTTGGAGCCTGCTTTTTCAGCTGCTGGAGTGGGGGGGGGGGCAGCTGAAAGAGGTTGACCATGATGGGAAGCCAGAAAAAATGAGACAAGTAAAGAATGCCATGTTTTAAGTTGATCAATAAACCACTTCACTACAAAAATTTCACCTCCAGATTGGTCCTAATAACTTAATTATAGGCCTTAGTCTAAACCACTTGCACCCAAAAACATCTTAAACAACAAAACTTGATTGTTCCCAGCTTCCAAAACACTCATCAAGCTTTAACCCTGGATAAAGTCTCGAGCGAAATCTGACAGGATGGCAATTACAGAGCTCTTAACGTAGCATTGTGGGCCCAGCACTGGTACACACGCACAAGGGCTGGATATTTGTCACGGCTGGTGCCCTATCTGCTGCATTTTATCCAAATATAAAAGAATTCAAGAAGCCAAAGGAGGGTTTTCAGGGCGCATTCTGAAGGTTTCGCTGCTTATATTAAAGCGCATGTGTCAAAAAGTTTACTGGAGAAACAAACACTTCTCCACTCGAAGATGAATGCGGTGTTTGACAAAAAGTGTTATAGGTGAGAGAAAAGCAATCTCCTTGAGCTTGCATTATAGAAGTTTTAGGCAATGTAAAATGGATAAAGTTTAGCAAAAACAAAATAAAATAAAACTGTTGTAGATACACAACAATATTTTTTTATTGTAAGCCATCTACCTATGCTTTAAAAAATCCAAACAGAAAGGTCTCTGTCTTACACACACATTGCTGAGACACAAACATATATTTGAATAGTTGCAACAACAACAAAATTCATACCAATTCAGGGTCAGAGCAATTCAGGGTCAGACCCAGCCTCTTCCAAAAATTCTGCACCCCAATCTAAAGCACACTCACCTTCTCAGTAACTGTCTGGTTTGGTCATTTGGACTCACATTCATGTAAAAAAAACTCCAGCACAACCTGGACAAATCCTGCCATATCACAGGTCAACCCCTTCCTTCCATAGTCGGACTTTACCAACGCAGCATCACTCAAAGATCACAAGATCACCTCTGACCCTGTTTGCTCACATGTCCTCAGGGAGGCGCTATAGATCACTGCAGCCAAGTCTGTAAGATTCTCCAACAGTTTCATCCCCACTGCCATGAGGACACTCAACGGAACCTTGGACTAATTACCCCACATATGCACTGGAATGCCTTTTGTCGTAGTAAGTTTGCATGTTTGTCTGTCTAAAAAAGCAGTAGAGATGTGAACAGTCAAAAATCTGTGCCGGATGCAAATTCAACCCATTTTATTGTGTGGCCATTAATTAAGGTTATTAAAAGAAAAAAATATGGGTTTTTTTCACCATTGCATTTCTCATAATAGGAACATTCTAATTACAATCTAATTAGAATGTGGGCCTTCAAACTTATCTTATACATCGTCACATACTATTAAATACAATTTACAAACACCTCCAAAATACAGGCGCATCTTCAACATTGGAAATAAAAAGGCGCAAATGAATACGTATGAACATTTGAATGCATTTAAATACATGAATCCGTGTGGCAGCGATGCAGCGATAGCGACCGCACGCGCAAATGAAACGCGGGCGGCCCATGAAAGGATACTGTGAATAGACTTCTCATTCCCATCAGATAGAAGAACTTCCCTCACGTCAGCACAAATGGCAACCTGCGAGACAGAGACAAAAGGAATGACACAACAGCGCACAAAAGAACCCAAACGCGCCTTTAGATGAAACAAACATCACACACACGTTACTTACATACACAGAAATGACATATCTACAAAGATTCACCCCACTCTCTATGTGTGCCATTTTGCCTCTATCTCGCCCACCCCAATTTTTACGTCTGCATTATTTTAATCATTCAATCAAATCAGTCAATACTTTTATCATTGTGGCTAGCGGTGGGGGCCCCTGCTATCTTGCTATCACTCTGTTCGGTAATTGCATTGTGACAGGGGATGATGGCAAGCGTAGAGCCTTTTCATTTGACGCTGGGGTATTTATCGGGCCGAGCCATCACTCCGGCGCACGCTGCCTGTCGCTGTCACTCTGCACTCAGGCTGCCGCGGCCTGCCTGATGCCCTTCATATAACTTTGCAGCAGCGGAGACTATATCGGAGATGGGGAGAAAAAAGGGAGAATGGATAGAAGGCATTGTGTGGGAATGTGTGAGAGATATAGATAGTGGGAGAGAGGTGCGCGTCTGACTCTAAACCTCTTTTCATATGGGCTTTTCTTTACCACTGTGTTTTCATATCTGTGAGTGAGTGTCAGCTAGTGTTAAGAAGTATGCGTATTGAGTGAGAGTTAGTATTGTGAGGCACTCTGTTTGAGGCAGGATGCCACGCGGTGTGTGGCATATGCACGTGTGACTGCTAGAATCGAGTTTGGTGGTATAGAGCTGTGTTCATTTATTTTATCCTGTGCTGTATTCATTTACCTTGTGCTGTGTGCTTCCTACTGTTCTGTAACTGGTGATGCAACACTGACATTTCTCCACTTAGGGATGAATAACAGATATTTATCTTAATCTTATTTGTATAGCACATTATAAAGAGAAGGCAACTCAAACTGCTTGACAAAACAAGAAATGAAAAGTTCTAAACATAAAACAACTAAAGAAATATCAGGTATATAACCACAATACATTCATACTGTATAAAGAAAAGTTAGTCAATATTCTATAGCTTTTCATTTCAAAATCTAGGGGAAAAAAGTGGTTGTTTTTTTGGTTGATATAACTTGAATGGTAATATACATTAGAATAAAATGGGATTCCAACAATGTCCTTAATATAGTTTTAATAACAGTAAAATCTACTGAGAGCCAAGGTCTAAGCACAGCATTCAGCTTCTGTCTTATGATTATGATTATTATCATAAATAAGTCATGATGCATATCAGTTAGTAGCGTACTATTGACAATAAAATAACAGCTCCAGCAATGACTGCTATCTATCCAATCTTAACATCCGAAGTGTTGGGGACAGTGGTGACTTCACACCACATTCTGGAGCACGTCCCGAGAGCATGTGCAGAGGGAAGTGCACATCCACCATCTGCTCAAACACAGAAGCTGCTGCAGGCTGCATCAGAGCATCTGACTGGAAGAGGAGGCCACAACCTGCTGCAACTGTTTGGAGCGATGGAACAAGCCTCAGCTGAAGAATAGGTTTGTAATACAGACGACAGGATTTTAGAGTAACACATTTATCCATTTATCCAATACAGTTTATGACCATGATATACAGCTTGTAGTTGTATAAATTGCGTGTACATTGAGTCAGGTCACAAACTGCCAGTTAAATAGTCATTCCAGCATTTTAAAAGCAGGAAAAGGTGAGCCGTTTCAAAGGTGGTGTGCGTGTCAGGCTGAGGAGTGGGAGGTGAAGGAGAGGTGTGAGGGAAGGATTCCATCTCAAGCCAATGTCACAACATGGCGTATCGACTGGCAGGAGATAAACTGGACCATACGCACACACACACACAACACACACACACGTGCACACACACAACTAAAGGCTGGTGGATCGATGGGACACCGACGCCTGCGATGTGGAGGGGCCCTTAAGACCCGTGCTAATAAACCCTATAGCTGACAGGGCCCAGTATGTTAGAGTGTAGCTATGGGTGTGTGTCATTGTCACACATGTCGATGGGAGCCAGCTTTTAGCAGCAAAGCTAGCTACTGAGTGACTTAGTACAAATGGCGATTAACTGTATATTGTGTTGGTTTGGCAATGGCAAATCAGAATCTAAGTAAACACTCATAATATAGTGTAGAATAAAATGTATATAATTAGGTATATAATGAGGCCACTTGTATACATATATATGATCATTCTAAAAAGATGCCAGCCCTAATGGGTGTAAAGAGCTCAGGTTAGATGATGATTTTGTGTTGCACACTTTCTCAGAGTAAGAGCTGTTCGCACACGGTGACAGTTGATATGAATAGGTACAGATTGTGTGTGCCCATGCTGTTTGTGTATCGATCGGTGGGGGTCAGTTTCATTAGTGCACCACTTCTCCTGTGCGAGCTCACTTACCATGAGACCAGCCAGACAAGTCATCCCTCCTCCTAGCTCGCACACGGCGCCCCTGAGAGAGAATAGAAAACACACCACAGTCAGAGTTACTTTAGCCGGCCACAAGCCGCCGCTTAGCACACCCAAGTACAGGGATGTACATACACTCACACAGAAAACACAGCAGGCTAAGAAATATCAATTCAAGCGTCAACCTGAAAGCCGCATACTGAACATGGAGAAGCACAAGCTCAATCAGCGGGAAATGGGAGCCACACTCTGGGCAGTGCTGCCTGCCCGCTCATTCAGCCCCTCTCTCCATCCTCTTCCTCTTTCATCTCCTCCAGCCCTGCACTGCTCCACTCCCCGTTTCATCCTGCCCCCTCCACGGCTGACCTTCACTTGGCCGCTCTGATCGATAGCCCTCTCCTCCTCGCCTCCCGCCTCTTGAATGTTAAAACAGCAAATCAAAGGGTGATGTTCCACCTTGAGTGGAAATCAAAGGTGCCTGGGTGGTTGCAGCCTCGTGCCGCGGGCCAGGCCTCCACGCGGCACAGCGGAGCAGTGGAAAGAGCATCACACAGCAGCGCAGCGTGGAGGTCAGTGGTTCAGGCTGACACCATTATGGCGTTTACATGAAAAAGACTTCGGCCACAGTCATATTAGAAGGGTTTAGTCCAATTTTCCCTGCTAAAGTTTTTTAAAGTTGTTGAGAGGTGAACAGCTTACACTTCAGTAAATGAACATAATAATCATGTTATACATTTAGTTGACCCTTCTTCCTAGAAATATGTTGTTTCAATTCTATCCTTATTCATCTTGCTTGTTTAGGATTTCATGCATTATTTTTTGTATTCCAATGCTCAATTGTAATTTAGTGCAGGCTTGGCCCATTTAGGGAAACTGGGGGACATAGTGAATAGTTTTGATGGAATGTGATATCCACTGTTTTGACAGAGTGCAAAGGCCAATCATATGTCGAGTTAAACAGGACGATGATGTTTGAGAAACCTGACTCACTTGAACACGGTACGCTTCTGCAGACAGAAGTGAGCCATCACCTCTTCAGACGGCCACACACCTGGGAAACAGAACAGGGTCACTCCACACATTCCCCACACAGGCACATACATTGTACAGTATATTTAACTCGGGCCGTTTGAGTTTCCCGCATCCCGTCTCAGCCTCAAACAGCAGCAAAATGAGAAACATGAAGACTATGACTACGTAACATAATTGCATTGTGCTGTGCCGTCTGTGTGTTGTTTTTTCTTGTGCTATCCTCGTTGCCTGTGATCCAAGGCTTCTGTGCTTCTCTGTGCTCTGTCCATCTGTCTTTCTCCCCTAAATCCGAGTGGCGGGCTCCCTCGCTGGGCTATAGCATGTGCAGTGTGAGAGCGGCAGAAAGACAGGGGGTCCGGTGGGTGATAATCGCAGCGTGCAGGCCTGTCTGGCTTATCACCTACAGTCAGCCCTTCTCTTTCTGCTGTGCAAGTAACATACACTAGCACACACACACTTAGAATCATTTTGTCTCTCTTTCCTGACAAAAACACACAACTTGGCAGTGGAAGAAGTAAACAGTCATTTGAATAAAACTTGGGCTTTTTCTGGCTTTGAACAGGGAAGCTTGGCGAGGCATGTGTGTGCATTGTGTGTGTGTGTGTGTGTGTGTGTGGGGGGGGGTGCGCTAAATTAAATGAAAATATAGAATTGGAGGAAAAGTGAACAAGGTAACGAGTAAGGAGGGAGGGGAGGAAAAGGTGGAAGTCAATATAATAAGCAGCTTACAGACGGGCTCTCTTCACCTCGCGGGGCAGACATCTCCACACACTCCCACACTCCGGTTGCTGGAGATTAGCTCAAGCAAGCAGGATTTAATAATGCCTATTGATAAAATGTCCAAATATGCCTTTTCCTCATTAGACACGCGGCAGACACATGCTCGCACAAACACTGACAGCCAGTAAATATATATATAGTGCATTACTGGAGTGTCAAGACGTGTTCGACTTTTGGAGATTACTTTTTCTTTCTTTTTTTTCTTTTTTTCATTTTGTCTCCTTGTGCCACTTCAAAACAGACAGTTGTGACATACTGAGGAAAGTTAGGGATGGATCCATCTTTTAGTTAGGGCTATTTTGTTAGTCAAGTAACATGTCTTCTCAAAACACATCTTGGCTCTGGGCACTTCTTTTAAATATATCAAGATAGTTATTTATTTCTAGGAGAAAAAAGAAGTTAAATGCTATGTATGAAAAATAAAATAAAAGGAAGTAGTAAATAAAAAGTAATTTCTATAGATTTTTTTAAATTTTGATTTATTCACAATTTTACGGAGCCCCTCCGATGACATGGTCAAAAAAAAATTTATTGTTAAAAAAAAAAAACGAATTTGTGGCCACAAAATACTAATTTGTTCCCACAAAATACAAATTTGTTCCCATGAAATACTAATTTGTGACCACAAAATAGCCCCAGAAGGATATATACATATATAAGGATAGTATTAGCACTATTAGGCTTAGGTTTTGTGCCCAGGTTTGTCCAATCACAGCAGATATTCCACTAGTTTCTAGTCACTAATATTTATAATTTGACTAATGCCCTAAGAATAATAAGATGAAGTTAAACATAATACATTTTGATCTAACCCTAACCCATTGTGACAACTAAGAAGCAATGCTCGATTACAATACATCAGTTAAAATGGCTTAAGCAGCACTAGTTTAATTCAAAGTTTATGATATCCTATATATATATATATGGTTGGTTTTTTTAGTTTTTTTGTTTTACCTCCTCCAAAAAGTGCCAACCATGTGGCATCTCTTAGAGCTGCCTCCTCCATGTGTCTGGAGGAAGAGGCTGAGCAGCAGGGGGTGGTAATGCAACATGATCCACCTTTAGACACACACACAGATCCTCACCTCTGCCTCAGCAAAAATCAAGCTGTCATAGTTTTAATGCAAAAGTGCTCCAGAATCCCAGATAACAGAGGTGTGTGGGAGCGCTCTCAGTAATAAACTCTGTAAAGCATATGTGAATGTGCTGTTTAATCCCTGACTCCAATAGCATTAATAGGCGAAGGTGATAGGAAGTGGTGCTGGTGATAGTGCGGGTGTCAGGTCACGCTGCACTGTAGGAAATGAAGGGATCAGTGCAGCACAGAGCAGATTACTCCTCCTCAGGATAATGAAATTACTTCTCACCTTCAATTACCAGATGAGCAAACCGAGGTGTGTGTGGGCAGTGCACGTTTAATATAGTTATTGGTGTCAAGAACTTAGGCAAGGTTGTTAACTTGATAGGAGATCATTGTGAGCGCATTCTTCAGAGTGAATGAGAAATTCAGCAAATGTTGTTATTTACAGGTTTTTGGGGTGCACGCACGTCTTTTTGGATTTGCACTGATTTTGGTTGTGATATGGTGGCCTCAGCCCGATTGCTGAAACAGGATCAAAATTCATTTAAGGGAATACAGGACAAACTGAAGTCAAAGTTCTTTAAATTAATACAGCTTGTCTGAAATGCCCCTATACTGTGGGACGCCGAAAGGTTCTCTTATATTATCTAATTGACTTTGGCAACACAAATGGTAATCCACCTTTTTGCTAGGTTAGTCCCTCCCATTCAAAACTGAAAGGGCCACATCCAGCTTCCTCCCCACCTCAATTCGCCTTTTAAACAGTTGATTTGGAGATCTGTATTATGTATCTAATATTGCATTTCTGTAAATATACAATATACTTAGGGGCTGGTGCTAAGTGTACTGGGTGCAGCTCTGACTGCCACTCCCCCAACCCAGAAATGGATTAAGGGGAAGAAAATGGATGGATGGATGGATATTGCATTTCTGCACTTTTATTGTATCTATATTTTATATGTTGTGTTTCTGTGTTTTATATGTACCCCCACTGGGACTCTGTCTGTGAATGAAGTTCCTCACGGATAAATAAAGTTATTTGAACTGAATTGAATACATGAGCCGAGGTGGAAACGGTTTTCAATGAACAAGAAATGTGCAGATTTCTGTCACCGTTTACTGACTTACGATTGTCTAGAGGTTCATGGACAAATTGTATCATGTTATTTATAAATTATGTGTTCAGCAGGACAGTTTCTGTTATTAATAAAGCAAAAGCCAATTAGAAATGATCATATTATCTATATATCAAAGTGTTTATAAACGTTCTTTAACTTGACATATATACATATATATTTCTTTATTTAAAGTTTCAGATTATCTTAGCCAGCAAGACTCAAAATCAAACTTTCTAAACGCAGATGCATCTTTAGGCGAAGTATTTGCACGGAGCACAAAATATAATAATAATTAAGTTTCAAATAGTTTTTTTGATACTTGTAACGCTGTTATAGAAAAAGATATAGTGCTTATGAATCAAATATTTTGATAAATATAATTCTGTCATATCAATACATCTCCGTGAAGAAAAGGTCTCAATACATGAACAGCTGCTGTATTGCAAACAACAAAATCAAGTATTTTAAGTGCATCTCATTATAAAAGACCTTTCAACTGTGAATCCGACAGAGTTGAAGGTGTTTGACCAATCAGATCACAGTAAATCTCAATAATAACACCCAGTGCATTCTTTGTATAATGGCATTGGCCTAAACCCCGGAGTATCCTGACCACAGTGACCTAGAGCTGACCTGAAGAACTCTCGGACCTCTAATCTAACTCTGAACCCCCGACTAATCACATGCCCTGAGACGCACTGATCCTTCCATTTTGTCCAGTTTATCCTGGTTCAGCCCAATGTATTAGACTAAGTACAGCAGTCTTAGAAAGCTCACCCAAACACATCCTTCTACCTCAGGCCCATGCCACAGATTTAAGCTCATGAGGGGATCACAAGATGCAGACAACAGTGACTTTCAAGAGGTAGCACATCATCTGCAGATTCCATGGACAGAAAATGAAAAAATCACTGTCCTTGGAGATTAATGGGGTAAAATTATCAGCCTGCATCTTTTCGGGCGTAGCATATGTTTTGGTTTACATCAATGAAGCTGCAGTGCGCATTAAACTGCAATCACGGTCACCTCTCCAATAAACAGTTAATCTTCTATCTGATAGGGAACAAAAGCACACTTGGAGACGGCCTGTTGTGGATGCTCAGAAAAAACAGTTCAGGTGACAGAGAGAGGTGTCAAGATGAGGTTAAGTGGTCCGTGATGCGGCTCATTCCCTGTTGATGCTATAACAGTGACACACACACACAGAGTCTACTTCCTCCTGCCCCAGGCCCTCAGTGTTCCTCGGCTCTTTCTGCGGCGATTCTTCTCCACATTAAGCAAGGTCTCAGATAATTCCTAAGCCTCCTCCATGGCCGATCCAATAAGGGATAAGGCTCTGGGCAAGCCATGATCAACTGACAATCTGTGCTCTCACACGGCTACTTTAGCAAGGCTGGGATTAACCAGACCGCTCAGCACAAGCACACAGGGTTCGGTTCACAGACGTGCACAGAACGGGCAGAGGAGGGGAGCTGCTGGAGAAGACCATTCACTTGTAATTATTAACAGAAAGCTCAATGAAATGTGACATATGGTTTGCATATGGACAAAAAACAAATGGACATAAAGTGCACTGGGGATAATGCGCCAGAGATAGACCTTTGTCTGATTTGGAAACAAACTCAGAATTTAGTATATTAAATAATAACTATAAAAAAAAAAGGGATTCTAGAACATTGCTGACTTTGCGATGATGCTTTCAGGGCGTTGTTTTAATGCGCCAGCTCAAAAAACAAATCGTTTATCCAATTCTTTTGTGCATTCTGCCATAAAACTGTTGATCTCTGGCAGAGGTGGTGGTGACTTCTGGAAATTATTCTATATTGTATTGTTCATAACTTGTATTGTAACCTGCTGCTGTGTGAACTGTGAGCTCGCTGTGTGTTTTTGTAGAGTCTGTGTGTTCTGCTTTGAGATTCTGCTGCAAATTAATTGCCCTTTGGGATCAATAAAGTTTTATAAATCTGATCTGAACTTTGTAGTTGAAGCACAGACAACCCCTATAAGTTTTAGAAGAGGGTGTCCAAACCTTTTAGTAAC